CTGGCTCATCTCCCCGAGACCCCTCTGCAAGGGGACTCATTGTTCTCTAAGCAATAACTCTTTCCCCTTCACCCATGGTAACTGCTGGTCAAGTTTTAAAAATTATCTTAAATTTTCAGTAGCTTTCCTGATTCACATATACACTTCCATAGTTAAATTGCTTTTATATCTTTTAATTAATAAATTAATTTTAAATTGCTCTTAAAATGAGTTGTATATATCATCACAATCAGTTCTAGTGCTCCCTCCCCCCTCCCACATTCATTGTTTGCTCTCCAAATCACCTCCCCCACAAACATCCCTGATAAACCATTGCATCAGTTACTGTCTCTATGCATCTACTCCCTCTTGCTTCACAAACTGGGAAACCTAACAGAAACAATCAAACATAAAACCAAAATAAAATGACAAGGAGAAAATAATAACAATAATAATATAAATATAAAAATACAAATAAATAGAAAGAAAAGACTACAATCAGTATTTAAAATCTGGTTTGCAGAAGGCTATGGATGACAGTGAGAGCCCAGTATTCATTTGTGGGAACATAGGAAATAAGCCTCTGGGTGAGTTCCCTGCATGCACAATTGAGGGATGGGAGGAAAGTGGTTACTAAACAGAGCGCATTGGAGAGATGAGTATAGATTTATCACATTTGGATTTTGTTCTTGTCATCTTTGGATCACACAGGCTGGTGTGCTTCTTTCATGTGGACTTAGTTGATGCCTCACTTAGATGGCTGCTTGTTGGAGTATAAGCCTTTAAGAGCCCAGACGCGAATTCTAATTGTTAGCTGGGTGCGGTCTTATTTCTCCACCACACTGCTGTAGCACCTTTATCTTCAGTGATCTCTTCATGAAGGCGAGTATCGAGTCCGGCCATGTTTTCAGAACTAACCATTCTTGGATTGGGGCTAGAGTTCAGTGTAAGCCTGAAATCCCTCTGCACCTCCATGGGTTATGGTTTAGTCCGGTTTACTTTGGTGGTTGTATTATGACAAAACAAAACAACCCCCCCACCCCACAAGACCAACAACAATAACAAAACAAACAAAAGGCAGAAAAACTAAAAATCCAAAGAAACAAAACCGAAAACCTTGTCAGTCATCCCCCTGGGGTCTAATGCATTGATACCATCATCAGTTTTTCCAGTGACACAGAACTCAAGACACTGTCAGTATGAGGAGTCTATTCAAGTTCAGTCCAACCATGACTGCAACTCATGAGTTATTGCCTTGCACAGATTGATCTTCCAATTGATTGAACTCTTGTTTACATGGAGAATAGGATTGGTGCCAGGGGAAAACTTGTATCAATTCTTACAAGTGCAGATCCTTGCCCAACAGATCAAAACCTGTCATAAATGCAAGGAGAGCATTGGAGTATTAAATAGATGCTGATTGGGGTCTCTTTTCACTGGACACCCACCAAGCCAGGGGTCTCACCCCAGGTCCAATGACCACCACTTCCACTGTCCCAGGGTGGCCACCCTCCGCTTCCTCTCTCATCAGAGTATCCCAAGCCTCAGTCCAAGGGAACAGGCAGCTTGGAGGAAGGGCTCAGTTCATTCAGTGAAGCCTCTGCATTGAGTCCCTCTGGTGTGGTCCCTGGGGGGTCCATGCTGCCTGCAAGAGCAGAATCCAAGGGCATCATGGTGCTAGTCCTTGGCGGCTTAGCCCATGGTGTGGTTCACCGAGGGCTGGGTAGAAACATATTCATAGTGTCTACCCAAGAACATAAAATCTGGTCTATTGTTCCCCTGGGTTCCCTACATCTTTGTTTAGCACCCCTTCCTGATGTGGGGTTTCTCCTCCCCATTCACCCTTCATAATCACCAATAGAAACATCAGTGCCTTCTCCAAAATGTAGATTTCCCTCTCTTTTCCCATTTACACTGCTTCTTACCAGGGACAGAGTACCCACACCCAGTAAGCAAGGCAAGCAGGGGCCGACTTACTAATTTAAAAAAAAACTTTTTTTATTGGGGGCTCTTGCAGCTCTTATAACATTCTATACGTTAATTGTATCAAGCATATTTGTACATATGTTGCCATCATCATTTTCTAAACATTTACTTTCTATTTGAGCCCTTGGTTTCAGCTCCTCTTTTTTTCCTCCCTCTGCGCCCTCTCACCCTTGTGACCTCTTGATAAATGAACAATTTCACATGGGCATGATTAGTAAATAAGCACAAGTAAGGCCAAGTTTACTTTCCTTATTGGGTAATCTGTCTATGAATATGAAGGAGCAAGATGAGGCATAGATCATTCATGGAGAACTTAATATTTTCTTTTTTTCTTCTTCAAGTTTTGTATTCTTGTGTATAGAGTTCTGAAAATTGGGTTTTCTGTATGTCTTGTTTTTGGGTAGTTATAAGCCTGTGTAAAAGAGGCTATTATTATAACATTTCAGATTATAATTTGATTTCTCATGCCTTTTTTCCCCCTCCTGAATTATTATATCCAAAGGCTTATAAAGAACTCTTATTTTGCCTTGTTCTTGAATCAACCAGGTGCTATTTCACTCGGGAAATAATTTAAGTGGCAGAGTGATTTTATATGTACTTCAATCATGATTGACTACAATTTAGTCACTTTAAAGCTCTTATTACCCTGAGTATAAAAATGTACAATGCTTAATTTGTTTACTTCATCAATTCCAAAGAATGATTTAGCAGATGTTTTACTACAAATCAGTAGAAGAGCATGAATGAAGTACATGAGATTTTAAAAATAAGTGAATGAAATTTTAATGATTAAAAAAACTCAAGCATAAAAAGAAAGTTTAGTGATTTTGTTAAATCTGTGAAATGATTAGAATGTGGTCTGTTGATTAAGTTGACTTTTAATAGTAACTGGTTATCTAAGCAACTGATATTCATTCTTACAATAGTACCTTCCATATGAAGACACAGTGTGATAAATTTAAAAGATTGTGAGACATATAGTTTTTATTTAGTATCCTATTACCTTACACAAGTCCCTTAATTTTTCCATTAAAATTTTATATTATGAAATAATTAGATGATCTTTGAGGATTCTTTTTAGCTTTAAAATGATGTCATCATTCTTTCACATGGAAGTAGAATTTCCCATCAGTTATTGATGAGCCAGAGTACATAGTGCCAGGTTTTACTTTACATAAAGTCACTCACACTCACTCACTGCCATTGAGTCGGTTCTGAATCATAGGGACCCCATAGGACAGAGGAGAACTGCCCCTGTGGGTTTCAAAGACTCTTA